CGCACATTGTGTTTGTTTCATTCCAAATCCATTGTGGTGGTGTATAGAGCCAAAGATGTTACGATTGTGTCGATGTCCCAATATTTCTGGACCTGACTGTACTTCCCCTACCCTTTCCTGCAAAGCTGTTACAGGTAGTCCTCAATGAACAACCCACTCATTCAGCAACCACTTGAAGTCATGACAGCGCTGAATGAGGGGGAATTATGATGGGTCCTCATAGTTGTGGCTGTCACAGCATCCCTGCAGTCACAGGATCACAATTTGGGCACTTGACAACCAGCTTGCAATTATGACGGTCACAGCATCCCGCAGTCATGTGGTTGCCATTTGTGACCTTCACTGCTGGTTTTTGACGAGCAAAGTCAATGGGGAAACCGCCAGGTTGCAAACAGCGATCATGTGACTGTGGGATACTGAGACCACATGGGGTTTGCCTAACAACAGCAACTGGGACTGCCACAACTGCCATCATAAGTTTGCACGGTCATGTGACATTGCGCTTTACAACCGGGTCACTTAGCAACAGAGTTGCTGGGCCCAATTACCATCATTATGCAAGGACTACCTGCACTGACACATTAAAGGTGAGTGTACCCATAAACTTAAAATAGTTTAATTTCTAAAAAGCAAGATTTAACTTAAAGAGCATTTTTCTAAGCAAGGTTCTAGTTGCTGTTTTATAAATTGTTTTTGTTTACATCTTTCTACTTGGCATTTTCCCCTCAAAGTTTTCAAATGGCATAAACTTATGCATACATCAGCTTCGCATTCTTGTAAGTTAAACAATACTTGCAAGACAATTTTCCATTTTTTCTATTTCAGCCCAATGCATCAAAATCACAATGACTGCCACCATGACAAAAATTCTACAGGGTAGGTTCCCCATCCTAAATCATGTAGTTTCATAGTGGCAGATGAAGGACTTTATTGTACTTTTTCCATCACCACCACCATCACCAGCAGCATCACTTTATCATCAACCTTTGCTAAAGTATCCCTGGTTGCTGTCAAACTAGGGGGTTGCCATTTATAATGGCATACATGTTATAATGAAGAATCTACGAACGTGTGCTGTGGTTTACTGTATTTGTGTAATACATATATTTGCTTACACTATAGCGTAAACCAAAACAATAACATTTATAAAAGCTTCTCTCCCCTCAAACAGTTCTGTGATTTACTGCCTTACAATTAGTTATATCATAATTATCTTTTTTAACACAAGATGTTAAATCAAGTTAAGTTTTACCAAAATTTATGGACTACTTAACTATATGTGCCTGTATATGTGTTTAGTTTCTTTTCTATTCAATACAGGTAGTCCCCAGTTTAAGAACAAGTTCTGTTCCCAAGATCTGTCCTTAAGTCAAATTTGTATGTAAGCTGGAACAGTATTATTTATAATACTGTATTAGTAGTATTGTGTAATTAACTCGAACCATTGCCTATTTAACTCAAATTTTGCTACAATAGGCTCAGCCTTAACTATGGGTCGTCCTTAAACCAGGCATTCTTAACCTGGGGACTACCTGTACCTTTCTGTGTTTTTCCCATTTAAAGGTCTTAACAATACAAAACATGCTGGAGTATATACAGAAGTAAAAGACATAAAACCTTATTTCATTAAATTATCTAAGAACTTGGAACTGTGTAGTATGCCTCCTTTGGTATGCATAATTAATAAAGTTTAAATGAGATAAAATAAAAATAATCTGTATTATTGTGGTTTTTTGTTTTTTTGTTTTGTTTTGTTTTTTTGGTGCCTTCAAGTCAGTGCTGATCCCTGGCAACTACCTGAACAAGTCCCTGCAGTTTTCTTGGCAAGATTTCAGAAGTAGTTTGCCACTGCCTACTTCCTAGGGCTGAAAAAGAGTGACGGGCCCATAGTCACCCAGCTGGCTTTGTGTCTCAGGTGGGACTAGAATTCATGGTCTCCCAGTTTCCATCAAAGTGATTTTCTAGCATATTTGCCACCTTATGGAAATATTCAAACTCCTTCCTGTTTTCCAGGATCTTGCCTGTCTTGCTGCAACCAGTAAGAAAACTACCAACTCTTTATGTATCAAGGTATCATTTGGATTATTAAAAGAACTTAGTAAGCCCAATATAGGATCTAATATAATGGTCTGAGTTGTAATCTGTCTTATTTTAGTAAAAAATTCAGTTGAAAAAGACTGAACATCTTTACGAGACCACATATTTCTATCTTTAACACAAAGGGCTTATACTATAACGTATTGTATTAAGTTTCCCTACATTAAATACTATTTATAAAATACTTTTACTGAGTTTTCCCTGGTTTTAGCCAAAATCAATTTTAATGGCTTTCTGTACTAACTGGATAACCATAAAGTCATAGGCACCGAGACTTTTATGTCTGATTCCCATACTGTTTTCAACCCATTTAAGAAGTTTACCTTCTCTAACAAAATGTTGTAAATGTTTTAGTTTGTCCCTTTCTCCCTGTTAAGTGATAAATTTTGCCTAATTTGAAATTCAGTCATGGCTCTTTGTAAGATAATATCTTTGATCAACTAACAATTGCCTTTTAATTTTGGGAGATTTTATAACACAATAACACTATTCTGTAACATATTTTCTGGAAAGAGAAAATTAAAAAAAAATGAATAGAACTGTCTCATTAAATTCTTAATAGCTTACCATATATACTTGTGTATAGGCCCACCCACGAATAAGCCAACCCACATATTTCATGGTATTTTGGTTAAAAATTCAAGGGTCTGCTTATCCGCAGATGGGCTTACACACTAGGGAAAATATGGGTACTTTTTAAAAGTATTATTGTATATACTCGCAGATAAACCCATGCAGATATACCTGTAAGCCAAACCCGATTTTTTAGGTGCATTTTGGCACCTAAAATTCTCAGCTTATCTTTGAGTATATGTGGTAAAAATGTTTATTTCATTCGATTTTTCTTTTTAAAAACATTCTTTGTACCATTCTATAACAGAATATAAATCTCTGGAGATCTCACAACTGCTCTATCATCATCAATATATTTTAAGGTAAAAAATGTAATTTCTTATATTAGTCACTTCTATACATATGGATGTGAAATACATCTAGAGTCTCCATGTAAAAATACTTCCTTAGATAGATCAATGCATAAGACTAGCCTTGAGTTTTCCATAAAGCAATTAAGTCCTTGTTGTTTCATCTGGTCTTTGGGGTCTGATGTCTCTTATGGAGGGTAAATGTATTATGGTTCTTCCTTGGCATTTGCATAATTTACATTGTTTTAATCTCATTACTGTTTGAAGGTCTATAAGCTGCTCAGAATCAGACATGATTGGAGTGGCATATATGACTAGAAAAATAAAAATAAATGAATAAATTTCTAAATTCCATTACTAGAGCATGTCTTTTATAATAGCCACTCACAGCATTCCCTTACCTTGGACACTTCCTCCTTTCCACTGTTTTCTTTGATGAACACTTTTTCTAATTCAGGGCTTATTCCTTCTACACTGCACGGCACACGTGAGACTGTTGATTTTGGCACTGAAATGTTTGACAGTGGCATAGGGACTGATCTTGAGATAGAAGCCTTTAAAATAAGTGAGATATATGTTCAATTAGCTTAAAAACTACAGCTGGAGACTCCATGAGATGAGAAACTGAGTTCTATACTCATTTGAGGTGATATACATTCATTTCTAAATGCAGAATCATCTCACTCGCTGCATATATCAGATTAAATGAATTGAAGTGAGGAGAGAAAAAATATCCTATCCTGATTTTCATATAGAGCTAACAGCTCAATGCTATGCCCTACTATTCAATCAATCAGTCTATGGTATCAGAAAAAAGGTTATCATATCAGCATGGGACAAGTTGTAATATGGTATGTTCAGTAACAAAAAGAATAAATCATTACACAAATCCCATGTGCACATTGAAGACATATGTACAATCAGCTTGCCAGTCACCGTCTCAGCCCAACCCCCTCATAGGGTGGCTTTTGTGGGGAAAATTGAAGGTGGGAGTATTAGTTATGTTCTCCACCTTGAGTTGACCAAAATATGTATATAAAAAAGGTGGGATAAAGTAATAACAATAACACTAATAGCACTAATAATAATAGTACTGGAAACAATGGTAATGGGATGTAATGATATTTCAACAAATATACAATGTAGCAGAACAAACTGATCCCACCTAGCTCACCTATACCACCGAACCTACAGACATTGTTACCAATTCATTTGGAGAAAAAGAGAGATTGTATATTTAAAGAGTGTCTAATGCTGAACTACAGAATGCAACTCACTCATCTACAATTAATTAATAAACCAGTCTGATGCTTATCTTCTTTGTAATTTCAATTACATAATTTACAAATGTAATGTTTAAATTCCTTGCCCTGATTATCACACAACTGAATTATTGCTTGTACCAAGGATGTTTCAAATTGTACTTGCGAGCCGCCTAGTCTTTTGATTGCAGCGGGATAGAAATGCATTAAATAAACAAACAAACAAACAAACAAATCTATGTACTCTACATGGGGTTGCCTCAGAAGATGACTCAGAAGCCATAACTGGGTCAGAATGCAGTGGCCAAGCTGTTAGCCAGGGAAATCCACTATTGCAGGATTGCATCTTAGATTGCTGCACTAGTTACCAGTAAGCTTATGGGTCCCAATACAAAGTGATTATCATTATTTTACATGATCCCAGGCCATGGGGCCCACCTTATGGTACATTCTCCCCCCCCCCAAAGTGAGGTCAGCTCCCTCTCTCCTTATTTTTGAGAATTCCCTCAAGACTTGGCTATGTCATCAGGCCTGGGGGTCTCAAGGGACTGGTGAGATCTTGGGGTGGTGCCATTGCTGATCGAATCTCGTGTGTGCTTTTTTTAAAAAAAAATATGACTGATATGTTTATTGTTTTATACTTTTTTGCTGTATGCCACCCAGAGTCATATACATTTGATAACTAAATAAACAAATAAACAAACAAACTGAAGACCACCTTACCAAACAAAATTCTGCCATTCCAGTCTTGTCCTCAGGATAGGGCCTGCTGAAAATCCTACCACCCCCAAGCCATCCAAAGGGCCAGGAGAAGGCAACAGGTCCTTTCGGTAATAGACCAGACAATCTGAAATAATCTATTTCCAGAAAGGCATTTGGTCCTGAGTCTACTTTTGTTTCGAAAAGAAAATTCTAGACTCTTATTCTAACAGGCTTTCAGCCTGTAATTTGACTGCAAGGCGATTACTGTTTATTATGCTAATTATTACTTCAGAACATGTTCCTTGTATAAGTTCTCTTGCTTTTGCTTAATGTGCACTGCCTAGGGTCCTAGTGATTAGGGAGTTATACAAAAATTGTAAAATAAAGTGGGACATACAGATAAATACTTACAATTGCTTCTGTTTTATGTATGTGGTTGCCAAAGATGCAATCTGATCTACACACATCTACTTTAAAGGAATCCTACTGAATCGGATATTCAGTATATTCCCACTTAAATGACATTAGATGTTCATTAATTAACACTGTTATACAAATATTTATGTTAGGCAAACCAAAACCAAATTCTTTCCTTTAACAATTGTACAATAATCTTCAAATTATTCTATTCACACACTATCAAACTTCAAATATGATTCGAGATATCATAACCTAAATACATATTTGAATTAATATTTTAACAAATTTGAAAAGAGAACTTCAGATATGTTGGAATAATGCAATGGCATAGCTTTTTCCACAAAAGCACCACATTTAGGCATTTGTAGATTATTAATACATAATGATCACTTTCAGATATAAGTATGACCTACACATAACATAAAGAAAAGAAAACATAGTCAACTGAATATGGTGAAACAACTCCTCATATAATTACTATGTTTTTCATTAAAAAAAAAATTTTTAAAGACAAATAGTGATCATTTTCTGATATTTGGTGGATGTGGTATTATGCGTGTTTATGAATACACAACTGAGTAAGACCTTGGATATAATTCAAACAACATAATTATACTACAGTTCATAAAATTATTAAACATATCAAGATAACTCCTGTTACAAGATGCGTAGCTATATAAATTGCATAAATAAATACTCTGAACAATCATATTACTGTAAGTTTCTGAAATCTGGCATTCTACATTTGAAATCAAATAGAAATATGGACATAAATTATATAGTCTTTAATATAATAGACATCTCTATTCAGTTCTTTAATATAGGTAATATCTATACTGAAAAAGATTGTTTTAGGATACCAAACTTAATTTATAAAGCATTTTTCCTCAGAGGTGCACCGAAAATAATGTTTTTTACATCTGCAGTCTCCAATATGGCTCCAGAAGTGTTACATATACATATAAATAAAATGAACTTATAAGTATCTACACACACACACACACACACACACACTCAACCCTTGTATCTTATATCACGCTCAAACACCTCCATGAAAATACCTATGCCTCCACACATAATGAATGCTATTATTCTGTAACTAGTTAATTTAGACCTTTTCTGAGAAAAAAAAATGGAAATCCTTGACAGAAATTATGTAACTATAGAGTAAAATTCAGTTATGCCTCTGCAGTAAAATGGAAAATTGTTCATGAACTTCAACAACTATGACACTTCTTCAGAGTGATCTGCTATGCTATATATAAACAAACCTAAGTGGAGGGGACACACAAAAACAAACCAACCTAGTAATTAGAGGTAACAGTCATACCATAGTTCTAAATGGTTATTCCATCTTCCAATTAGAGCCTAACTGGAGATCAATATGAATAAGTAGCATGAAAAGGGATGTATCAGTAAGTCAAATTATTGCTGTGACTTTGTTGATATAGTTATCTACATTATCCGCAACAAACATTCAAGGAAAGTTATATTTTATATAAATTCTCAAAGATTTTCAAGAATCATGTGGTCAAGTTATCCACACAAAAAGGATCCTTAAAAACTTTTTATTGCTGTTGTGAGCTGCCCAGAGTTGTGTTTCTTGATATAGGTGGCTATACAAATCTTTTAAATAAATAAAATGTTAGACTAATGTAGTGACAAAAGAGCTGGAGATCACAATTCTATAGGAGTATAAAACAGTAAAATCTCCTTGATAATGGATATAACAGAATTCTTTGGGTGATTTTAGTAGCTAATTTAAAATGGATTCAAATAAAGAGATTGTATGTAAACCTAAAGCTTATTTCTAACTACCTCAAAGCTTTACTTAAACATCAGTTACAGATTTAATTGCTTTTAAAGATTTCTTAATATTTTTTTTCTAGTTCTATTCACTGCTTGACTGTACTGGAGTAATTTTTCCCTAGAATTAATAAAAATATCTTTAGATGGTATACAGGAATACAGAACTGAAAAAATACATTACTTCTAATTTTCTGGCATAAAAATTCTGCCTGAACAACCTAGTGGGGTGCTTACCTGAGTCTGACTGATTGCTATATGGTTGCCATGGAGAGGTGACTGACGCTCTTTTTCTTTATTGTGACGACTACTCTGTTTACTGCGTTGAAGCTGTTGTCTCAGTTTGGCAATCTGATGGGAAAAAGAGACAAAATCAAATAAAAGACAGAATAAAATAGACAATAGCTTGGAGTATGGGAGACTCTTCTTTAAGCAGTAGAATTAATACAAAATAACAATATCACACTCTAGAGATGAGTACAGGTTGTAATTAATTTGTTCCATAAAATTTATAGTAATCCTAATTTAAATACTCTTTTAAATAGTTAATAACTGTATAAATTCAGCTTAACATATTCCTGAAAAGAAGCTATTTGAGAATCAGAATCGTATCTTATTTCAGTATAGTGAATTAATATAATGAAGTGATTCATATCTTTTATATACCTTATCAACTACTTATTTTTTTCCCCAAAGTTTTGAACATATCTTCTTTTCCCAGACCACCCCCCTTAAAAAAAGTATTATACTCACATTACTATACAGGTAGCCCCCAGGTTAAAAACACCTGGATTATAGATGACCCATAGTTAAGAACGGAGCTTACTGTAGCAAAATTTGAATTAAATACACAATGAGTTGAGTTAAATACACAATGGTTCGAGTTAATTACATAATACTACTTATAGAGTATTATATGGTAATTCAACTTAAGGGCAGACCTTGGGAACGGAACTCGTTCTTAAACTGGGGACTACCTGTATTCTTATTTAGGACACACTGCATTCTCAAATATACCAGTTTACTATTCTGTAATGCAACTACGGGATCAAAACTACCTTATTAGAAGAAAATGACAGCTACTGTTCATTTTCATATGTCAATTAAAATAGCTCACTGAAACTAATTTTAAAACAATCAGGTAGCAACAACAGCTAACCAGTTATCAGAATCTTGGTTCCAGAGATTTTGTAGTTTTTTTTGAAGAGGTACTCATATTAACTGAAGGGGGAAAAAATCAGCACACATTCTGTGGCCCTATATATAAAAAGATGGAAATGCATTCAAGATTACCTTTCATTTTTCATCACCATTCTTCAAGTTTTTTAGTTTTGAATCTATTCAACAATTTAAATGGACGCTATCTTCTGATCTTGGACATTATACTATGTCGCTATTGTTCTTTTTTAACTCCTTCAATTTCATAACATCACATTGCAAATAAATGAAATAGCCTTCTAGTTTCAGATTCACAAACATTAACTGGGTCTAATGTTAATTGTGCTTAGCCATGATCACAAGAATGTCTAAGAAGAGATTTTTCTGTTGGGCGGTGTTGGGCTTCAGGGTTTAGTGACCGAGGTCTAGAGAACAGATTTCCTGACATTTCGCCAGCAACTGTGGCTGGCATCTTCAGAGGCAAAGTGGTCTGCTATGCCACTTTTATTTAGGACCTGCTTGCCTCTGAAGATGCCAGCCACAGTTGCTGGCGAAATGTCAGGAAATGTGTTCTCTAGACTTCGGTCATTAAACTCTGAAGCCCAACACTGCCCAACAGATACCAGCTGTGAAAGCCTACTTCAGTAAATTTTATGCTGCTTTTTAAAGATCACTTCAGAGATTTCTGTGTTCACATAAATGGGGCTGATTTAATTTTTATCACACATCTGTGTACAGAACAATGCACTTGATAACGTAACAGTGCAATATTGCCTGTGTGTCAGTCTTACCACAGAGATCTACTCTGACTACCCAATGTTCTTTTTATCACTCACCATAAGTCCTAAAACCAGCAGCATGTGACAGAAAGCACGAGCATGAGTGCACTCCCACAAAAAGGGGTACAATAAATAAACTGCATTTACTATTAACTGTGAGACATGAGGGATTGCTGCTCTTTGCCAAATTGTTAAGCACTTACTTCTTTTAGTTGATCAGCACTCCCCCATGAAGCTGAACGCTGATGTGATCTCTTTTCTAATACCTCTTCTGCCCAACAGCTAGGTGTCTAAATGGATGAAAACCAACAAGTATAATTTGGCACTTATTCTTTGTTTTACCACTTGTTAGTCAAACATATACTATTTAGCAATTATATTACATTTTGATTTAAAGGCATTTTGCGAACATTTCCTTAAAGCAGGGGAAGGCAACCCTTTTCATTATGGAAGTCACAACAGATGTTCTAGAGACATGATACTGTTTGAATGGCAGGATCAAAAATGTACAACTCTTTTGGAGAGAAAGAGTTTTGGTGGCAGTTAAATGGATATGGATACAGTAAGTCTCACAGGCTAAATACATTCGTTTCAACTGTCAACTTTATTAAAAAGAACACACACTAGAATTATGCCATAGTAATAAACGTTTTGCTCATGACATGGGTGTTCTGAGAGCCACGTGCAGTCCAGTGTGCAGGATGATCAGTGTTTTTATACTTCATGTCACTCCATATCAATTCTCTACCAAAAAGCACATAAAAGGTTTCTCTCTACACTTTCTTTTTAACTACAGCACATTGTTTTAATCATATAAAAATACATGCTTAAGAATTTACCATAATTTAAATCACATAATTCCTAACAACAAATTATGCAATATAAATACCTGCAAGCCAAATTCTCAATTTATCCCCTACTTTTCCCATACTGGATCTGTTAAAACTGAACATGTGGCTTGCAAAGGCAAGTTGAGCCACATGAACAAAAGCATATGTGAAAAAATTCAAAATGAAGGTGCAACATGTTTAGAAGTACACAAATAATGTTCTTAAGCACACAATATAGATTCTTTGACAAGGAAGGAAGGAAGGAAGGAAGGAAGGAAGGAAGGAAGGAAGGAAGGAAGGAAGGCAGGCA